TTTTAAAAAAAAAAAAAAAAAAAAAAAAAAAAAAGAAATGCAAAGAGAAATAGAACATAAACATTGGTAGATACTATTTATCACTATCATTAGTGATACAAATGAAGTAGACAAAAATCAAATCAGGATGTTGAGATATCAAGTTAATTACCAGCAAGCAGTTTACCCATAGGCAGTGGAGATGAATCCATAGATCGATTCTATCCAGCAAAGGGGAAAACAGGCTTGAAAGAAAAGAAAGGAGAGGTGGAATACCAAATTACAGCCAATCTGAGAAGAGTTTTCTGTTTGCATGTAATTGGGGCTACTGGTTAATGGGCAATTAGCAAGGAGGTGAGTGTAGCCCATTTCTCCTTACACAGGCCAACAAGTCCATATCCAAGAAAACAGCTTGTGTTGTTAATGGGATCCCTAGAAGACCTCACAAGTTTCTTATGGTGTCTTAGTGACAAGCTGCCTCTGTGAAATGTCTGCCACAGATGATGTTTTTAAACAACTTTACTTTACCTAGGTCAGATGTGTGCCATTTCCTTGTTCAGAATTTCTCAGGTATAATTGTGATTTGTCAAAATATTGTACATACGTATATAAAATCTATGAAATACTTCAAATCGTTAACAGGGATATTTTGGTGGTGTTACTAAAAGTGATTTTTATTCTCTTTGTAAACTTTTCTACATTTTTCCAAATAAAAAAGTTTATTTTCATAATGAGAAAAGTAAAAATTGTAATTTTGAAAATAATAATTTATCCCAATCATTGATTGCCCGTGTATATATGTTGCTTCATTCAGTCCTTCGGCAAAACCCATATAGTATATATTATCACCCCATTTAGAGATAAGGAAATTGATCATAAGAAAGGGTATGTGATTTGTTAAGGGACATCCACTGATTCTATTATTTTGACTCATTAAATATTAATGACATTGCCAAAAAAAGTAGATGTTTGTGAATAAATGCCCACATTTTGAAATAATGAATTAATAGCTAGAAATAAACCAAAAGTGCAATTTTGTGACAGTGACAAACATTTTTTTAAGAAGTATTTGAATCTGTAGCTAGACGGTTTAGGCTTGCCCTGCTGCATGATAACTGTGAAGTTTGGTAATTATTATCTTTTTAAAAGCCCAATTTCCTCCTTTAAATGGCAACTATAATAGCACCTATTATATTATAATACTATCATAGGGACAGAAGACGTAATATTCACATATCTGTTAAAGCTGTACCTGGTATGTTTGAGGAAGAGGAAGGGCCATTTGGCTGGAGCATATTGGCAGAAGGGAGCATGGGATGAAGTGAGATGAGAGAGGTGACGGATGACTGAGGCTTCTTCTTTGAATGAGATGGGAAGCCATTGGAGTGTTCTGACAAAAACAGGATGTGACTTGTGATTTAAACAGATCAGCTGCAGGTGCTTTGTGAATAAACCATGGGGTGGAAAGGGGGAAGCAGGGAGACCTGTTAAGAGGCTACTGTAATTGCAGAGGAGAGATGATAGTATCTTGGGGCCAGGAATTAGTACAGTTTTGCAGATATCCATGACAAAGGTACCTGGTCATTGTGGTAAATCTAGGAAATTCCAGCATGCAGCTAGGGTTGCTGTATACAGTCTCCCTACCCTCTAATTATTATATAGTAGCAGCTTACTCTATAACTTGCTTGCTTTCTTTAGCAACAAACATATTCATTTCAGGTATCATTTAGTAATACTGGATAAGCCAAGGCTGATCAGTTGTCACCCAGTGAAAAAGCTCCAAATGACTGAGGTTAGACAGAGTTTACAATTCTTAATTGGCAAAATATGAGAAAAATAAACAAAACATTTCCAAATTTCACTGCTTATTTCAAAGAAGCATGCAATTTGACCACATCAAAAACTGTATTAAATATAACTAATAATATGTTAACAAAGATTTTTAAAGACCCTCTTCTACTTCAAAGTTGAGTGTAACTGCTCCTTCCTTCTAAAAACGGGTGGGAGTGAAGAGTCATATGCAAAATCTGAAATTTGGGGAAATAGATATCTACACCCATTCTCTTCCTGTCTATAGACAAGTAGGAGAGGGAGAAATAGTAAGAGCCAAAGAAGATGTCCTACTGTTCAGAAAAGTGCATTAAATCTACTTTGAGTGTCCACAGGAAGGGGCAGAGCTACATTTGTCAGGCACAACTAAGTTACACTGCCTAAGCATAGGGAATATGTTTTGAAGTTAAAATAACAATATGGGGTGAGGAATTGATTTAAGGAGGAAATTACTGAAATCACTGGGAGGAAAGAAATAGAAACAGGGACAGCAGAAAGCTAGCAGCAATTGGAGAAAAACAGCTTAAAGAAATTTTTTAAAGAATTATGACTAATTTTTTCAATTCTAAATTATTTTCCTTATCACGATATGGATCTCCCTCCACCTTTCTAAATTTCTTGTGAAGTCTGTTTTGCAAGTCGAATGCCTTCTATAAGTGGTGATGGTGCTGATGTGTGTAAATCAAACAAAAATCTGGCATCCATTTCTGAAATAAGGAATGAAGATGTGAGCAAATGAAAATACTATGGTAGCAGCAGGAATTTAGAGGTGATGGTGACTAGGAGAACATTAGTACCTGGGTTACTCAGTAATTACTGTTATTTACTTTGGGAGGAAACAGTAGACAGCTCTTATAGATGGATAGGATTGATCCGAATTACTTTCAAATATCAAGAAATATTATTATTATTGAAACCAATGCCCCAAGTTCTAGAAATTTTGTTGTAAGCAGATGAACATGATAAAAGAGTTGCAAACTATTAAGACTGAGTTTTCATGAATAGAGGTTTATTTTGTTAATCAAGTAAATCTATGGCAAAATTAGTCAGCTAGTATACATAATTGTCATCTTTACAGTAATTAAGGAGAAATAAGCAGTTCACATAAATGATAATTACTATTGCTTTTGTGTGATTAAAAAAAATTTTTTTTTCATCTCACCGTACGGTATAATATATATATATAATCCATAGCATAGTGGTGTGGAGCCACAGATCTGGAGCTGGGTCACCTGGGTTTGGATTCTGGATCCTTTGCCTTTTATGTGAATTTGAACAAGGTACTTAATCTCCATCTCCTCTGTTTCCTCAGATGTGAGTATAAAAAGAAAATAATACTTTTTAAAAAAATTGTCATGGGGATTGAATTAGATAATACGTGAACAGCACTTAATACAGCACCTGTCATATAGTCTGTCCTCAATAAAGCTGTTATTATTATAACTGATTTTCTTGGAATCATAAATCTTTTGGTGACCATCATTATTATCCATAAAAACAATAGAAACTGATACATTTATATATGCACATTGAAAAATGAGTGGTTGCTTTATTTAATCTTTATTCTTTTTTTTAACTTTTTTTTATTGAAACATAATAATTATACCTACTTGTTGCATACAGAGTTGAATATCAGTACCAGTGTACAGTGTGTGATGCTTAAATCAGGATAATTAGCATGTTCATCATTACAAAATATAATTATTTCATTAACCAATTTCTCACTAATTCCTTTCCCCTTCACTCTTTCTGACCTCTAATAACCAAACAGGAGTCTTTGATCTCTGCAGGCCTCCACTGAAATAGTCATACAAACTGTGACCATCAGCAAGTTAATCATCCCTTCTGCGCCTCAATTCCTCACCTGTAGAATGGGGGTAATCACACTTCATATCTGAAAGGATTGCTGTGAGGATTATATAATTTATGCAA